ACAAGAGCAGAAAGCTGGAATTAGAGCTGATAGTCCAATTCAGACATTTGTTCGTATGTGAGAGATTGGCATTCCAAGTGATACATTTTTAAAAGATCTATTTGTTTATTATTATTTGTTTTAAGATTTATTTATTTTTGTTGGAAAGTCAGATATACAGAGAGGAGGAAAGACAGAGAGGAAGATCCTCCATCCTCTCATTCACACCCCAAGTGGCTGCAACAGCTAGAACTGAGCCGATCCGAAGCCAGGAGCTAGGAACCTCCTTTGGGACTCCCACGCCAGTGTAGAGTCCCAAGGCTTTGGGCCATCTTCCATTGCTTTCCTAGGTCACAAGCAGGAAGCTGGATAAGAAGTGGAGCATGTGGGATACAAATTGGCATGCATATGGGATCCCAGAGCAAGCAAAGTAAGGACTTTAACCACTAGGCTGTTGCACCGCCTCCCCACCCCAAGTGATACCTAACGCCTGTCCCAGGGAGAATGTTTCCAATGCCACATAAACTTATTAGTGGTATGAGTGTTCATGTGGCTAGGAGAGATGTCCAGGTAGGTACCTGTTATAGAGATGCAGAATGCCCAGTTTTATGAAGTAGATATTGTGAGGAGGTTTGGCAAAGGTACTGAGCCCCAACATTTGAGTATTCTACAATCCTCAAACTGATACAAAACACTAAAAGTGCCAAGTAGTGCAGGACTTCAGTTTAAGGACTTCTCCCTAAGTACAACCCTGAGGAAGAGGATCTCTAGGTAGCACAATTTAGGTAACCATGGTGCTCACGGAGTCATGTCTAGTGTCTGATATGAGGGTTGGGTTGCCTACTATTTAGAGGTATACAGGTTTGCACTATTCTGCTTTGCATTTGGGTTTGTTGCAATACAGCCACCATTCCAGCTCCCTACTGGTGTTAAAGAGCCTGGAGGGTCTGGTTGATGGAGCAGGCGGGAGTGGTGGCATCTTGCTTTAGAGAGTGTTTTCATGGAAGTCTGACTTGTGTTGACCTGTTTCATGTCAGTTGATCAATATAAGTAGCAGAGAGTGATAGGGTTTCTTGTATTGTGGTTGACACAAAAGAAAATGGGCAGTGAGAAGAACAAGTGAGAAAGAATCTTTGCTTTCTCATGATCATTTAGAGACTATCTGAAGATACGATTTGTAAAACATGGGTTCATGTTGCACTCCAAAAAACACATGAAGCTCTTCTTGCCTTCCTCTTGGGACAACCTCTCTCACATCAGCAGACTCTTCTTTCATATTCATTCTAAAGCAATTATTCAAGAAAAACTGTGTCAGCTGCTGAAGAGACCACAGTCTTCAACAAAAGTGTGACTGTGGAGGGACACTGCTTTAAGCAGAGAAACCAACATTCATCGAGTGAGCTGTGTGACTATCCCTTTGATTTCCAAGTATCTGCTTTCATTCCTCAACATTTTGGTCATGACAGTTTGGCTTCCACACCTTGCCCCTGAGACAGTATAGTTGTACAAGTTACCTCCTGCATTTTCACCCATCTCCAAATGCCAATTTGTGCAGGACCCACCTAGGCAGTGACTGCAGGAACACATCCCTCTTGTGTAGCAGCACTCACCCTGCTAGAAGAAATGCCTACTCAAGGTCATGATCAGTTCCCACAAACTTTTGGAGCCTTGAAACAAAGACTGATGCTCGGTCATAGTCCATAGGTTGTGAGTCTAACTGCCAAGCCTTTTGGATATCTCTGTTAATCTTTACTCCTATTTTGCTAGGTGACACACAATGGTTGTACTGCTCACTAGGCCTGAGCTTCCTTGCCAAACCCTTTGCAACTTTTGTCTACGACTCAAGTGGGGATTTCTCTTCCTTGGGCAATGTAATTTCCTTTCAGCATTACAAATAAAAGACATGTTTCGTAGTTGAATGAGACTTCCGTTTATCTTCATTGCTTCTTTCTTCCCTCCTTCTTTTCCTCCATCTCTCTTTCTTTGTTATTTTCTCCATTAAAACATAAAAATTTAAAACTGCTTTTGATTATAGTATCTGAGCAATATTTTTGTTGTTGTGATTATAGTTGCGAATACCTTTTCATGTTTTGAATATTCTCCTTCCCTTTTAATCCAACTCAATTTCCATGTGCTACCTTAAGGACAATTGTAGATTTCATGTGGCATTCCTATAGAATCATGGCATTTATGAAAACAAAGGTTGAATGAGGATTAAGTAGACAGCATCAGAATCATTCATAGCTCCTCAAAAAGGGCTTTAGTTCTTACATGAGCCACAATCTTTAGTTTAAGATACGTTGCAGCTCTAAGGTCACACAAGGGCTAACCAAAATCAATGGTTGTTTGAAACAATATTTTGAAATCTTTGGTACCTGTGAAGAACTAGAATTGATGTTTGCTCTACCTAAGTGTCAGCAAGTTTCTTGAAATGTATGTTTATCATTTTATGGATTTTTTTTTCATTTCAGTGTTTCAATTCCATATAGCTTCCTGGAACGTGCTATTTAAAAAAATCTCTCTCCTTCTCTCACTCACATTGTGCTCTTAAGTATTGGTGTATGTAATAGTCAATATAAACGGTGCGTGATGACATTATTTGTGAACACTTGGCCTCAGGGTGCTGAAATGAATGATGCTATCCCTGAAGTGTTGTGGTTGGTAGTCAGCCTGACCAAAAGCCCTGCCTTGCTGACAAACGCAGTGCCTGTTCTGGGAACCTGCCCTGCTTGCCTGAAGGCATGTGCTACTAGGTTGATCCAGCATTCCTACTGTTGGCTGAAGTTGAGTTGGTGAATGCTTCAAAGACTTTTGAGTTTTCCCCATTGTCCTTTTTCATTCTCCCTCTCAAAGTATAAAACCAGTTCTTGGAAGGCTTCCTTAATATTTGGACAAAGTATCGAGCAACATCGCTTTAAAAGTTTAGTACTCAGCACTTAGTCATCTGGCTGATTGCAGGAAGAAGTAAAAAAATTAAAATGAACTTACTCCTGAATGCATTAACAATATGTATTGAACTGGAAAAAACAAGAGGTGCATGTGGGAAGTGAGGATAATGGAGCAGAGGGAGGGACTCAGGGGCTTATGGCAGCAGAGAAGAAACATGCAAACAGATTTTAAAAAATGTCTTTCAAAGATCGAAAAGCCTAAAATCTGCTTGGGAAGAGAATAGAAGGAAGCTAACACATAGGATAGCTAGCTTTATATTTTCCCCCATAACTCAGACCTCCCCAACCCTACTTCTAATTGTTACATAAGGTGATGTGATTCTCAGGTGAACCACTTAGGCAATGCTCAATAAATAGCAATAAATAGCTTTTGAATGAATGTTTATCTTCTGTGTCTTTATTGTGTTAGTGTAATCATGATTAAGGATTTTTTTTTTGTAAATTAAAAAGTTCAACCACACATCCTTAAGGGGAATGAAAAGGTAAAGCTATGGAGAAAATGGATCCCTCTCTGAAATCTGTCCTGGGGAAAACGCCATCTATGGATGGGCAGAAAAGAGTGACTCAAAGAAGCAGGAATATAGGTTAAATCTGAAAGAAGGAGGGAAAGAAGGAGGAGGGGAAGGAAGGAAAGAAGGATTTAAGGAAGGATGTAAATAATAGAGGGAAATTTCCATCCTTGAATGGGGCCAAGAGATGGTCTGATCAAGTCAGACCCAGCATGACAAGTAGGTGTGATTTTGTCCCGTTAATAGGAAAAGATTCAAACCAAGGGGGAGAGGTGATTTTCCTGTAGTCACATGGCTTGTCAAAGATGAAACTGAGGCCAGATGTCAAGCATTTTAAAAAAGTTTCTTTTTTTTTTTTTAAATAAAAAATTTCTCTCTCCTTCCAGTATGCTGGAAAATTTCATTAGAAAAGTAGAGGTGGAGATGGGTTTTTGTACAATAAAATGGTGATGAGCTATAGCGTAGATTCAGGAAAAATGTAGGATGGTAGGATTTCATTGTCCCCACCTGTGACAGAGAACCTTTGACTACCAGTAAGAGAGGCCCCAAGTACCCCCACTGTGATAAACTATGGAAACAGAGTCAGGGCAGGGCCTCTGAGTCATGGGCCTTGAACCCCGGGAGGAGATTTGAGAATAGTGTATTTTCTATTCTGAAAGGCTTTGTTAAGCTAGTTAAGGATGGATTTGCATTTTGGTTAGGAAATCAGTGGACCTGCCCAGTTTTAGGCAGCTCCACTTCCCCCTGGGTGGGACAGCAAGCTCTATAAAAAGGCTGTGTATGGCATGACCATTAAACTTCTACCTGAGTACCAGTGTACTTCGAAGACCCTGGTGAGTCTGATTGCCTTAGCATACCTGCTTTCTTTCATGCTTCAAAATGTTGAGAGTTTAACCAGAGGGCAATAAGTGTGATGTTCCAAAGTTATGGTCATGGGTCTGATGGTACGTAGGCGATGGAGGCAATTGGGAGCATAATGCTGTACCATTTTAGCTTCATTTTCGGTAGAGTGTGGTGTTCGTGTGGACAAAGAAGTTGACAGGAAAACTTGGATTTGAAGAAGAGTATAGAACAAGCTGTTTTTCATTTCCATAGCTTTCTGTTATCTCTTCAAAAATTTATGAATTAATAGGTGTGATGTTCTTGAATACACCTGAATTTGACTCCTTAGCTCTGTGTCCCAATCATTTTACTACATCTTCACAAGAGGTGGTGATGGTGGTAGATGATGGTGACCTTGGTCAGGACATTTGAATTTGTGATTCCCTTTCTTGATGATATTATTATTTTTTTTTTTTGCAAATAATATGCCTTGGTCTTTTGTTTTTAATAACAGAGATATTTTCTTTGCAAATTACGATTTACTTAGTGTTGATGAGGTCATTTTCTAAAGTGGAAGGAAAAAGAATCATAAGTAGGATGTGAAGGGAGTAAAGTATGTATTTTAGATACTTAGGGAAGTAATACCCCATAGTATTATGTAAAACTACAGCATCTTCCGCTGTAGGAGTCCCCTCCTGTGAAATGGTTATGTTTCTTTTCTAGACTCTGAGACTCCATAAAAATGTCTTATCAACAGCAGCAGAGCAAGCAGCCCTGCCAACCTCCTCCTGTGTGCCCACCCCCAAAATGTCCTGAGCCTTGCCCACCTCCGCAGACCCAGCAGAAGTGCCCACCTGCACAACCTCCTCCGTCAACCCAGCAGAAGTGCCCTCCTGTGCAGCCTCCCCCAGCAACCCAGCAGAAGTGCCCACCGGTGCAGCCTCCCCCACCAACCCAGCAAAAGTGCCCACCGAAGAACAAGTAGCAGCTTCAGAATTCTTCAGGATCACAAAAATTCGACAGTTCACCTAGCTTCCCTGCAATCTCTACATCTCCTCTTCTAATGCCAATCATAAATGTAGAGGGAATTCCTCCACTCTTTAATCTAAATTTTGCCTCTGATGATTCCTGACAGCAAATGGTGGCCTTCCCAGGGCTATTACACTGCTAGTCTCCAGAAGGTGGCCAAGCAAGGGCAGCTCTCACTGTACCAGCATCTCAGGATTTCAGAAGGCAGAGTGGTAACTCTCCCACTGGATACCATCAGATGATCCATTGGATGTCTTCTGTTCTGCTTGCCTCCTGGGCAGGGGTCTCAACTACCTGGCAATTGTAACTCTCCTTTCACTTTCTGAAATAAAGTAAATTTTCTGTGTGATGCAATATGTTTCTTTTCTTTTCTTTTCTTTTCTTTTTTTTTTAAACAGCTTAAAAAATTTTAACTGCCATAAAAATGTGCTCATTTATGGAACATTGATCTTCTGATACATGCAGCCATGACACAAATTTCCAACCAACATAATCATATTTGGTTCCTTGAGTTTAGCAACACCAAGTCATCATTTGAGTTGATTTCTATCCTTTATGATCTCCTGGTACAAATTTTGGATTACACAAAAGATTACCTCTATATCATTTCAAATATTGTTCTTAATTATTGCTTGATTGATTTCAGGAACAATCAGAATGTCGTGAATTTCAATCTCTCTGTTGCAAAATGGGGAAAATAATGTTTGCATTACACATTTGCCTTCTGCATAAAATTGAGTTAACATGACATTTTGCTAGCACAATGGAAATACATAATTAGCACCCAAAAATAGTAGCCAATTGTAAGCAGCAGGTCCTTACTGAAACCATCCAGGCCCGCTGAGGTCTTGGCCACACCTTCAGGTAGGCGGCACCAACATTGCCCACCCATTTCCTAATTGATTAAGAAACCACCAATGGGAACATCTTACTGTAGGTTCCCGCCCAACAAGGAGAGGTCAGGGAATGCTTAAAATCTTCAGACCTTCCTGAAACCTTTGATGTCTCTCTGCCTCCCCTCTGGAGAGGCACCCCACCTCCTGGCGCCCCCCCCCCCCCTTCTCTCTCGGTGCTTTTTTCATCCCTCTCCTTTCCCTGCTCACCAGGTCCCTCCGTAAATACACTTCTCTGTCTGCCACAGATTCCCAGCCTTTTATTTCTATGCTAAGCTGAGGAAAGAACCCACCGGGCTTTTCTGGTAACACCATCTCTGTCATTACAATCGTCATCACTATCACAAATCATCATGACTATTACAATATTTTGTTTCATCAAGAAAATGGTTTGGCCATAACTGGTTGAAAGAACAAGATTCTGAAACGTAATTATTTACATTTTGCTGTTATCTTCATTTTCTTTCTTTTTTTTCTTTTTAAGATTTATTTGTTTTTATTTGAAAGGTAGAATTTCAGAGAGAGAAGGCATGACAGAGACATTCCATCTGCTGGTTCATTCTCCAAAAGGCCACAAAGGCTGGAGCAGGGCCAATCTGAAGCCAGAAGCCTGGAGCTTCTTCTGGTCTCCTGTATAAATGCAGAGATCCAACACTAGGACCATCTTCTGCTGCTCTCCTATGCACATCACAGGGAGCTAGGTCAAAGTGGAGCAGCTAAAACTCAAAATGACATTCATATGGGGTGCTGGCATCACAGGTGGAGGCTTAGCCTACTGTCTCAGGGTTGGTTCTTGCTATTTTTCTTTTCTATTTAACGTCATTTTCCTATTTGAAATTGGAGATGAAAAACTTCTGGGAATTAATGGAGTATCTTGCAGAAAATTATAGCAGTTCTTGATATATGGGTATCACTGCAGAAGGGAAAGCAAAAGCAGTCACAGTGTTCGCTTTCCTTCCCACTGCCGCCTTCTTATTCCAATGACTCAAACATTTAGGATCTTAATCATTGATCACCCATGAAATTACTTTCTGAATTGTTCTGACCCCACAGGTGAAACATTTTCAGATTTATATTTTAAATTCAGATTTCCGAAGTTGCTGTTGTCATGCAGCTTGTTTTCTAAGTGTTTAGTTTACTAGCCTAGTAAGCTCCTGAAAGAAAGGGTTTGTGTGTCTTGCCTGAGGATCTCAAGTTGTATTCCTGGCTACTCTGTACTTTTGATCTTGCTTCCTGCTAATGTGTCTGGAAGACAATAAACGATAGCCCAAGTGCTTGGGTTCCTACTCCCCACAAGGGTGGCAAGGATAGAGTTCCTGGTTCCTGCATTCTAGAAGCCCAGTCCTGTTGGGAAGGAAATAAATGAATGGAAGATCTTCCTGTCTCTTTTCTATTGTATTTTTCAAATAGATGCATACATCTTCAAAAAGAGATAAAATCACTATAAGGACACTGAAGTGGTAGAGAAGCAAAGCCATGTAGTCTGATAAGGATAGTTTGGAGATCAAAGAGCAGTCTAGATATTCAATGGGCTGCCACTTGCTCACAGCAACATTCACTTCCTCCTGTGAATGTTGACAGTGGAGATTTCTCCAGATTTCCTGAGACATAGAAGGATCTTTTATCCCTGTGGCAGGAGCAGTGCACATAACCCTCTTATCAATTTTATTTGTCCCTACTTTAGTGTCCCATTCTTTTCCAATGTGCTTAGACTCAGGTCCACTCAGTAGGACTCACCAATGAAATGTCCCTTCCTGTTTCCCAGTGATCACCTCCTCTATCCACTTAGTTTGGGTAATTGAAATAAAACCTATGGGTTGCAGTATCCACCCCATAGTAAGTAAGAACAACAGATCTTCCCAATACTGACAAGATTACCAGAGCCACCGAATATTTTAAGCAAAAGTCTCACAGAGAACCATAAAGGTGTCTCTATTACCTATGACCTAAAAAGTTAATTTCATACTTGGAGTATTGAAATTTTACTCTACTAGTTAGATTAAGCATAGACTTTAAGGTTGAATGGGAATTTTCTTTCTTTAACTCATTTTTGTTTCACTATTAAATGTTTCTGAGTTGCTTCTGGATTTTCTGTTCCTGTATTTGGGCTCTAACAAGGAATGTGAATGAGAAATTGATTTTATGTGATAGGTCATTGAAGAACTCTTTCTGTATTGGCTTAAATTCATGTTCTGTCATTCATTTGTTGAATTATATCTCTGTGCATCAATTTCCCTATCATCAAAGAGTAAAAAGTATAACCTTAACCTATAATATTAAGCAACTTAGCACAACGCCTAATGTATAATTAACACTGATGCAAAGTAGCTGCTATCATCACCCTTCTCTTTATCACAGGCATTGGAAATATACTTGTCTGGTAAAGAGGATGTGCTTCTCGCCTCCCCTTCTGCAGCAGTGTGAGAGGATGCCAGTCAAAAGGAGAAGGTTTAAATAAGATCCAGATTCTCAGAACATCACAACCAAAAGGTCTAGGTTTTAATAGAAGGTCATTATAATAAGAACCAGGAAAACCATAGTTCAAGCAATACAAGGAAACACATGGAGATGCCAGCACCAAGATGAAGAGATGTTACAATGATCTGAACAGGTATTCAAAGCAGCCATCGTAAAAACACTTCAGTAATAATATGAACACATTTAAAATGTATGAAAAAACTCAACAAGTCTACAGATGATGGAAAGACAAGGAAAGGGGAATTTTAGCACTGAAAAACATGACAACTGAGAAATCCATCAACAGGTGACCTCAAAAGCAAAATGGAAGGGATCACAGGAAACAATCAGTGAACTGGAAGGTAGAGCAACAGAAGTGACCAAATCTGTCTTTTTAAAAATGGAAATCATTAACAGCTTATTTTATTTTGTTTTTGTTTGTTTTTTTCCCACAAGGATAATTATTTTTCTTTTAAGAGGTTTTTAAAACAGTAATTGTACATATTTAAGGTGTCAGTGTATTTTCAATAACTACAAAAAATTATAATGAGCAAGATAAGGTAATCGATATTTCTTATTTTACAATATTCTGATTTTTTTTCTATTTGTTCATACAACTCTGTGTACAGAAGCCAGAAACTCCACTTAGATTTCCCAGGTGGGTGGCAGGAGCCTATGTACTTAAGCCTTCTTCTACTGATTTCCCAGGGACTTTAGCAAGAAGCTAGATTGGAAGTGGAACAGCGGGGGCTTGAACAAGTGCTTACACGGGATACCAGTAACCAGGCTTAACCTGTGGAGCCATGATGACAGATTCCAAAGAGGCTAAATTTCAAAGTACTCTTAAACACAGATGAAGGTGACACAAAGCTAAAGGTGAAAGTTCTGCCAGAAATGGCTTTGCTGTTGGTTACAAAATTGTGTGGAATTGGGCTTCTTTTATTTTAAAGTACCATTAACAATAATTACACATATTGTATGATGCAGTGGGATCTTTCAATACTTGTATACAACTGTACTGCTAAAACCAATGTAATTAAGAATTAATTTTTTTTAGCTTTATGACTAGAGCCTTAAAACTCCTCTCATCTATTTGCTCAGAAAAGATACAAGAGAATCACATGATCCAATTTCCACAGGCTTTTGAAGTAACCTCACGTGTCAAGATTAATTACCAAAACAGCTATTCCAAAGAACACGCTCAAAAAAGTTGGAGGTCAATGCAAGTGGAATTATGAAACATTGCTGAAGTAATGCACAATAAGGTCAACATCAGTAGTTATCACAAAAATGAAAAATCAAATCATAAGATCACTGCACAGACTTGATTAAAACTAGAAAGGCTGATAAGCATGTGAAGCAGGTGAATCCCTTATGTGTTATAAGGAGATAAAAGCAGCTGCCAGCTTCTTACAAATTGAAGACTGCATTTCCTATGTAATGCAGTAACTCTGTCTTTGTTAAGATAAATGGGAAAAAGTCCATACAAAAACCTGAACATGATGATGGTGTATATTATTCATAATGACCAAATTTGGAAATCAGAAGACTATAATTTGATGAGCAGATGAGATAAACAAATCATGGCCTCCCTATATGATGGAAT